TGCCTCGAGTATGGCCTTGTCGTTCTCGACATCTCCGACCTTGACAGCGGCGTCAAGTACGGCATCGTTGGTTTCCCCGTGCGTTATATGGCCGAAGTCTCCTATTGGTGTGAGACTGGTGGCTGGGATCCAGTTGAAGACCCCCCGCCTGAGAAGGAGCCTGACACTGTACTTGCCAGCCCGCGGCCTCGAGTGCCGTTGGCTATTTCTCCGTGGCTTCGCAAGTACTTTTACCACATGAACCTGGAAGAGGACCCCAGGTTCCTGATACTGAAGAAAACGCCGGTTGTTTATGCTGCAGCCTTAGACTGTAAGTCTGTTTCCTCGCCACCTTACTATCTCTAGTATCAAGATGATGTGCATGGGCTGACTTGGTAATGGTAGACGTCTGGCCCCCGGAGCTTGAAAATCAGCCTCGAGTCGAAGATCAGGCTGGAGAATCTTCGCTAGGTGTCATCTCAAGCATCTCAAATTGTCTGTAGATCACTCGTGCTTCCATAGTTTTACACATACTTACGGCATTTACTGACTTATGGAAGAGACTTTTGGCCTTCAAAGTCCACCACCAGCGCTAAAGATGCATCGACCACAACACCCTCGCGCTTGACTACGTCAAACGAGCCGCCGCGAAATGCGCACATAGACCGCGCCATCGATAATCTGCTGATTCTCACACAGGATCCCGCCGATCTTCACCTCGATGAGGAGACAATCGACAAATTTCAAAAGCTTGCCGAGTTCCGCGAGCAGCTGCGGCGGCGGCTCGAAGAGGTGCCCCATAGCCTGGGACCGTCCTCCGAGGCCTCGGGCCATATTCTGCGCGTTGCATACGCCGGACAAACGCACCTCAACTGGGTTGCGTTTAGGAACCTCGCGCCCGCCGTGATCGCTGCCGCGATTGCATCTGAAGAACTTCGAGGCGCGTCTGCGCTCAGTCTCTGCGTCGCTAATTTCAAGGTGGAGAGAGACTTGGGAGACCTCAGTGATCTAGTAGCGGCTCTAGCGCAGTCCAAGACCCTCAAACAGCTCTGTTTTCTCCAAGGACCGGACAGGCACAGCGATGACGCCTCTGCTCGTTTTTTCACGCAGCTGCTACTGGGGGGGACGTCATCAGGAGATTCATCAGCAGACTTGGCGTGGCTCCGCGACAGAATCATCTATCCGACTTATGCCTTTTCGACATCCTTGCGCAGCCGTAAATTCACATCGCCCTCGACTACTATTTTCACTCACCCTTCCCCCGTTGCCCAAATATTTCCTGTGATGCACATGCTCACGTTTGTGGGTCATCAGCGCGAAGATGCCGCAGACACAGACCACCAGAACAGTCACTATTACGACATGGGCAACACCCTTCTAGACCCCGAGCGCTTTGCCGTCCGATTTCTATCATACCTCCGTTCCGTGGGTTCGGGTTCTGACAAGGCCATCTTGCGATTCGCATGCGGGGAAGTCTCCTCGTCACTCACCACCACCAACGACGACAAGTCGTCGCCACCATTTGTATCACCAGGACGGTTCGCTGTGAGCCCCATTCCCACTGAATTCTTTGGCAGCCACCTTGCAGCAAGTGATGAATCAAAAGTCGGAGCCAGAGATATACACCCTGGCAGCTGGATGCTCCTTCTGAATCAACAAGGCAGCATTTCGAGTGACGACGATGATATCTTACTACAATACTCATTTGTCAGAACTCGTCCAGCCTCTGCCGAGATTGCCGACGAGCAACAACAACAACAAATACCCGTTTTTGACCCTAGTCTTGTCGAGGTAGTTGGCGGGCTAACAGAGTTCCTGCGCGAGGCGGTGCCAGGGATAGACGTTTCGAAGTACGAGAAAAGAGTCGAGAGAGTAGAGGAGGACCTCCGCACGCAGCGGGCTTCCATGAAACCAAGGAAAAGCCGTGTCCGTATCGGCGTCATGCATGAAAGCGGTGCCCGTAAATTGCTTACTCTGTTTCTGTGATATCCACGTGGATCTGACTGTTCCAGTACACTTCAATATTGAATAGTAACAAGTCCTTTCACTTCTTATAGACCGAACAAACATTCTAGAAATCATAACCGGTGAATGTGGGCTCTATATATTTTGTATGTCAGTCAATCATCACTGTTGTACACTCGTATGTTCAGTAATCTTTACCTGAGGATAGCTTTTGTGTGGGTTACTTTAGTATGTCCTGCCGAAACAAATGGTACTTGGTCACTAAGAAATTGCAAGGTGTGGGGGGATTTATAGGGTGGTAAGAGGATCATCGATGACAATGAGGTTTGATTGATATAACTACCTAGGCGCTGTAGAGCCCTTCGGCTTTAGAACGGTTAGGTACTTTGCTCTACCCATCCCTAGGGATCACACCACCTACATAACGATAATAACGCTTGGCTCCATTCCTTCTTCTAAGAAGACACCGTACGAACCAGTACTTTAAAACCTAATTCTGAGCAACCAGAAAGACCTAATCACCAAAGTCATGCTGCCTTAGTAGGAGCCTTGGTAGGTGTTGCGATTGCAGTGGCAATTGCTCTTGGATGGTGTCTATGTTGTAGACAACGCTTCCGGGGACCTTAGAATAATATAATGCGCGACATAGCTTAGGTTACCAGCCGCCAGTCCTTAGTAGATAAAAGCATATTTGGATATATAAAAAGTCGAGATATGTTGCGGATGCGTCGAAGAGCTGTCTTGTTCAAACGCGAGCTACATTGGCATCTTAAGTTCGGGGAGAGGCAGCTAATGTCCAATTAGAACCCGTAAGCAAAGCAGAAAGCTAAGAGGAAGCGGCAGGCCGAAGAGTGCGAGAAAGCAAAGAGGCCGGCGTGCCGAAGATACCCACATGATGCGCCATCACTAAAGCAACGCTATGGCAGGAGGAGCATGCAAACAAATTCCCAGCAGTGAGATGATACAGTACATACAGTGCAAGTTCTGGCATTTCTGACTTTAGTGAGTCCCCAGACTGCTGTTCGAGCAACTTTCCACTAACAAGCATAGTCCGCCAAACAAGATAGCAGGTAGGAATAACAGATCCACCACCTCTTCCTACTCCCGCAGCTAGTCCAGATTCTGAAGCAAAGCGCGGCTCTTATCGGTTCCTCCCCACACCTGAAAAACGAAGTAGAGCGGACTACACAGGGCTAGACGCACCGTCCTATAAAAGGAAAAGGAAGAACAAAATCAAGGCGAAAGACAGGACTACTCTCAAAGCAATATCGCAAGGGATAAATAATGCCGCACTACCTCTAGAGGTAGGCATGCCAACCGATTCTCCGTTGACGGATGAAGCGAACACATCGACGAACTTACCACGGGCTGGGACACCCTCGACCGACTTATACACCCGCCAAGGCGAAAAAGCGCCTGATAGTATCGTCGAGAATATACTTACAAATTATATCAAGCTTAACGATCCACTTAGAAGGTACGGACACCGTTCAAAGCGGGCAATTATGACGACGAAAGTTAAGGCGATTCAGAGTTTTGTGGATGACATAGTCAAGTTGCAATACCCCGATGCAGTCCAGCGAATCAAGCAGGATAATGCATTCTCTACAAGCAAAGGTATCCAATCTCGATTTAACGAGACCGTATATTAGGAAAACATCAAAAAAGGCGCCGAACTCCTTGACCCAAAGGATCTGCCAACCTCAAAAGACCCTCTTGTGAAATTCACGATAGCCGAGAAAGTCGCTAACGAGCGCTTTATAAGGGAAGCAGGTTATGGACTTAGCCTCGCTAATCAACGGTAGTGCCGTCTTTTCTGGAAACGGCTGTTCGAGATGCGGAACGCGGGCGTTGACAAAATTCTCTTTCTCAGCGGATCGTGGATAGGGTGGAAAAGGCGAATAAAGTCTTTATCACAGCTCTCGAGCAGCAGTTCCTCAACAACAGCATCAATATCGAGCTCTCAGCGTCAGAGCCCGAGCACGACAACGAAAGCGAATTCCAACCATCTAGTAACGTCGTCCTCACGGATATCACCGATCAGACAGCCTTCAACACTAGACGCACACCACGCAACAGCAACCCGCGGAAGCGTCGCCACACGGAGGAGAATCCAGGCGTCCTTAGTGGAGATATCAACCTTGACTTAATATCCACGAACTTCGGCATGATAGACCACTTTAAGCCGACTAGAATACCTAAGATCCTATATAGTAAGAAGCCGACTAGAACTCCACGTCTTTAATGCGTAAGCTTACTATTTTCTAATATAACGTGAATTGATCGAAGGATATCGCTATAGCGTAATTTCTTTAAGATCTAGTAGTCCTTATATTCGATATTATCGTAATTTAAGAGCTATAGATTAACCTATATAATAATACTATATATTACCTAGCGAAGTAGACGTATAAGCTTCGAGAGCTAGCTCTCCAGAAGCTCTAGAAGCTCCAATTCAACCTCCATCAACCGGTCAATCACAAGGTCAATAACCACGCCGACGAGCTCCACCAAAGTGTTCGAATTGTGGAACTCGGGGGCATAAGATCACACATTGTTCAAATTTTGTTAAATAGCTTACATATGAAATATTACGTTGTTTTGGTAGAATTACGTTGAATTGAATTTATCAATATTTGATGGGGTGGCCCGGCCGAGCGGGTGGCTCGCTTGGGGGTGAATTACGTTAGTAATGTCAGCCAAGACGGCTCAATACTAACATATTACACAAGCGAGCGGGACAGCCCAAAATACATAGTAAATGGCTTTTTATATCTAAGCAACAACGCATATAAACGGTATCAAATTCTCGATACTATTTCTTTAGGATGGTGATATCTTAAAGATAGAGTCTAGTGTAGTCCAATTGAAGAATTCATAAAATTACCATAAAATACACCCTAGTTTGGCAGCTCATAGGTAGGCATGGGATAGCACTTGGGAGTCACACACTGACTTTATTAATCCCCCTAGTACCCTTCTTAGTGAAAGATGAAAGACATTTGGCACTATAAGTTGCGGGATAGGGAGCTATATGCCGCTTAGGATCGCAGGCTTCAAATAGGTACGTTAACGACGTGCAACATCAGGGTGTTGAGCAATTGGATACCGCAAGCTGTGATCTCGCTGATGTAACCCTTATCGATCCAAATGTAGGGAAGAACCCAGAGCAGGTGACCAACGATTCCAAGAACGAATGAGCGCACGATTCCAGCTTCTTTGAGCTTCTTGTCTGCCAACATGGCAGAGTAGAAGTAATAAGAGGCAGGCATAAAATTGACTAAAGTGCTGAGAAGGCCTGCGTTGTATTCACCGTCCAGGATGGCTCGCATAACGTGCGTGAGACTGTTGAACATAACCATTCCATAGTAGTTGGCGCCTCCAACAGAAGGGTTGGCATATCGGAGAGACCAGGCACCAATCCACATCATGATGCCATTGACACCCCAGACCGGCAGAGGAGTAGCCGGACAGTTATTGGGATCTGGATAGCCCTACAGCAGCACATGTTCAGCACGAGAGGCCAAGTACTATAAACCACCACTAGAGTATACATACCAGGTTCTCACACAGTGATCGGTGGAAGGAGTAAGGAACGCCTTTGATGTCGTATCCCCATTCTTCGAATTGGTGAATCATGTACATCGGTCCACAAACGTAGCACCACCAGCGAGGATCGTGCATTCTCAGATACCAGGAGTCGAAAGATCGGAGATCACTAGGTCCTCGCGCGGTCTTCCATTCGCCGAAAAGTAGCTGTGCAGCAAGAGCCAGGCCGACAGTGAGACTGATCCATGGCCATTGCTTGACCACAGCATCTACTTCGGGACTCATCTTGTAATTTCAATACGTGCAGTGATGAAACATTTGATGTTAGAACCTTATTGGTGTGTTCTCATGAACTCGAGTTCAGCAGTCTAAACTCTAGAGGGCGATTGAAAGTTTATATATCCCGCACCTGAATGGAGCTTGGCTATATTCATGACGTCACGAATGCCGCAGAGCCGGGTTGGATAGTGTCCGATCTCCGACGCCGAGCGCCGAAGTTCCGTGTCGGTTAGCTTATTAATCATCCGCGGTCGCCAGGCGCCTCATCTGATAGGATCACGCCTACGCGTGAAAAAGTAAATCGAGGCTAGGTGTGATCTTATGGGGCGCCGTAAATCTCCACAACGGGAAGCGGTATCGCTTATTGGAAATACTTATGCATGTTTATTCACATGGCAGAAGAAACTCTTGTTTTGGACTTATGTGGTTTATGCATGTACAGGTCGTGCGAATTCATATCTGGGCAGGTTGTATCAAACCCTAAGACTAACGGTATCACTAATCGCGAGATTCCGCGTTGGACTTCGCCCTTTTGACACCAAGAATCGGCTATCACTAAAAAGGAATATAGAGAAGAGAATACGTCATAGTACGGACCAAGTCATCAAAAAGCGATACTCTAAGCTATGCACTTCAACCATAGCTGCCAGCCAGACATTTAACTTAGAAACAATATTACAGTGGCTCGCTCTTACTTCTCTTTTCGCGGATTGGCATCTTCAAAACTACCGTCAAACTATTCCTGTCAACAATTAGATCAAGCACTCAATAACTAATAAGCAAACATGCTGGACTTTTTTCGTCATCATTGGTACGATCTTGGTACCGTCTCGGCTTTGGCGACCATGAATTATTTCCATAACAACCAAAAGACACCCAGGACTGCGCAGAAATGGCTCCTAGCTGGCTTCATCTCGGTCCTGATCCACCAGTCCGAGGAGTATCGGTTTCCTAGTGGCTTTTCTGCTGTACTGTAAACCCGGGTTACGCCAGCGTGCAACCCGAGCGATTTCCTTTGAATGCTCACACCGCGATGGTCACCAACAAGGTCATAACATAGGGGCTTTACCTGCCGCCAATTTCTTCCCCGGAATCTATCTGGTTTGCTCTTGAGTCTTTCGGCCTAAGGACATAAACTCAAAGAAAGCATTCATCTTACAAACCCAGCCTGACATCCGCGATTCCTTTGCATGTTCCTGTTGGCATTGCCTACATGCGCCATATAAGAGGCACTAGAGAGCTCAGTGTTTATACTAGTCACGACTAATTATGATACCTGGTTAGGGAGTATAGTGAAATTATTTAGAGGGTATATTAGCCCCAGTAGCATCAAATTGCCAATAAGGTCTTGCTGGTAAAAGATTCCATAGGTATTAAATAAACTTAGGGAAGTGTAAGTGGAGTTACCCCGCATCTTAAACCCCCTAAATGTTATGTAAGGCCCGGGGGGCCTGCCATTATTAGATTCTGAAAGTTGAAATAGCTCAGAACGTAGTTTGAGAATATATTATTTGAGCAATAAACTGGTCATTATGACATGTCAATCTATAGATAGTCTATGGTGAAGAAGGGCCTTATGATCTCAACCCTACTCCTGAGGTCTTGCTGGTTGGCATGTACCATTGCTATTGACCTATAACCCTAGTACGCACTATCCATCCACAGGGGTAAACCGAAAGATCTATATATGCTAGAAAGACACGCGTAGTATGCGCACTGCCCTTGGAATGAAGAAGTAAAATCGAGATGAAATATCAAGAGGAAAATTTGAATCATGTTGTTTAATACTGAGTTAGACATATGTCAACCAACAAGAGACGAAATGCCCAATGACTACTTAAAAAGTACAACAAAAGGAAATAACAAGCGAATTCCTGAACTTGCTATTCACAGGAAAACATTTCATTAACCAAGTGCCAAAATTGAAGCTTGACTAATTACCGGCAAGTCAAATGAGATGAAGACTTAAGTTTATTAAAAGGCGCCACGCTGCTCCAGTGATCGCACCGAGAATGGAACTCTCGCATCCAGCAAAGGTGAGGGCAAGAGAAAAGCCTCTATGGGTGGGAATGGTTCGAAGTTTGTTTTACCCCAGTCAGACTCGGGATAAGTGGGGAAAGGAGCACCCGCACTCACTCAAGATCTCCATGCACTATTTCTCCAACCCCATTAACCGCAGGGGTTACAAAGACCTACCTTTGAACTATTCCCACTGGATTAGTTTATTGAACTCAATCTCATCATTTCCAACAACAAAGGCAGTCCAGCAATATGCCCCCTCTACCAACGACCATGAAGGCCCAGGTTCTCACTGCTTACAACAAGCCTTATGCTTTAGTCGACATACCAGTGCCAGAATTGACATCCCCATATGATCTTCTGATAAAGGTCGAGGCCGCTTCATATTGCCACACGGATGCGGTTTGTGCTGCGGGCGGGTTTCAAGGCCACGCAAATGCTCCGACTCAGTGGCCTCACATTGGCTGTCATGAATTTGCGGGCACAGTAGCCCAAGCATTCGAATCTAATTATGAAATGGATCCTGTGGCTCATGAATTTCGAATTGGTGATCGGGTAGGTGTTCCCGGTCGCGCCTTCCACCCCTGCGGATCTTGCCATGAATGTGAACGACAAATTCCAAATCACGGCCAGGCTAGCGACCACAAAGGCTATTCAGTTTACTGCCCTTATGCCAAAAATCTCGGGCTGAGCGTCCCTGGAGGATTTGCTCAATACGCCGTGGTGGATTCACGTCAGGTCGCACCACTCCCCGCTAGCATGAGTGCGAGGGAAGCTGCACCCCTGATGTGTGCTGGGTTAACCATATATGCGGCACTGCGCAAGTGCGAGCTACATTCAGGGCAGAGGGTTGCGATTATTGGCTGTGGAGGGGGACTGGGCCACTTGGGAATTCAATTTGCACATCGCATGGGACTGAGAATTGGTGGTACTGATACATCAAAAGGTGCATTAGATCTCGCTCGGCAGCTCGTAAAGCAATCCACTATTGTGGATGCAACTAAAGTCAAGGCCGAGGATCTGGTCCAAGATATAGGGAAGGAGGATACAGTTCTCGAGCGAGGGCAAATGGGATGCGACGCTGCCATCATTCTTCCCGAATCGCAAGCGGCCTTCGACTACGGGATGCGACTGCTGAAGGATCGGGGCACATGCGTCGTTGTATCTTTCCCGAAGAATGGTTTTACCTTCTCTACACAAGATGTTGTCTTCCGGCATGTGTCCATTATTGGTAGTCTAGTTGGAAGCAACCAACTCCTACGTGATATGTTGACTTTCACAGCTAAGCATGGGATACAGAGTACCTCAAAGTCATTCGCCCTATCTCAGCTGAATGAGCTAGTTGAGCAACATCATTCTGGGGTGTATGGAAAGCTTATCGTTGACATGAGTCTGGAGGACTTATCCCCATAGGTTGTCGTATGTGGTTACCCCAATGTATTACACGCTCTTTAGCCGACATGATCATTCTACGTAAGGTAGCATAAAGAGCTAGGTGGGGTGTATCAGTATTACCGAGAATGGGGAAATTTCTGTAATAAATACTGTCTCTTGTGTCATATTATTGCCTTTGTTGCAACCGTTCCACTTGTTAGACCCATTCAATCACTACCCCACTTTACATGGGTAATTAATTTCCATTCATTCCGGCAGAAGTAACTCCCAGGCTTCATAGCAGTTCAGTTTTGATGCTGAGGATTATTGAAAAGTTATTCCAAAGTTGTCAATTCGTCAAGCCGTACAAGACTTGAAGGCATAACTCGCGAAGTAAATATCGCTCACTCATGGCCTCGACACTCAAAACCGGTCCCGCCACGGATTCCGTTGGTTTTCCACCTTTTGATGAACTTCCAGCTGTGGCATCTCAGCCCCAGGGATCCTTATGGAGTTTCTTCGACAAGAATGGAAAGAAAGATGAGCTTGGAAGTAAGTTGGTCTCCCATCCAGAAAATCTCCTTGATGCTCAAGATTGTCTAGCGCTCAATCTTCTAACAAAATCGGTCGTGCTTGAGGCGTCTCAGGAGATCAAGTTCGGGTATCATGTGCAGTTGGACTGGCCGCTGGACAACCTAGAATTCCCAGGCCTTGGCCGCAGAGCTACCCGCCATGTTATCAAAGACATGACTTCAGAAGGATTTAAAGGGCTAGATGACGAGATCTGCATGAACACACAGATAAGTTCACAGTGGGACAGCCTGAAACATGTTTGATTCCACCGCTTTCACTGGGAGGATTGTATACCCCATGCTAACACATATGTCATTGATTCAGTGGAGTATCCAAAATCAAGGCCAATTTTACAATGGGCTTGACATGAAGGCAGCATTGGACAGTCCGACAAATGGAATTCACAGTTCGTTGTCCATGCTTGGCAACACAAAGCTCTCATTTAAAGCTCACACCTCTCGGTAGATATCTGCGAACGGGGAGGAATTGTAGGCCGAGGCATTCTGGTTGACTGGGTATTTCATTCCTAAGGCAAACCTGCCAAGCATCTTCCCTTGTTAATAGTCTCTAGCTGAGGTGGTGGGAAATTCACAACACTGGCCGAGAGGCTCCTTCGCCCATCCAGAGCCATGCAATTCCTGTTTCAGATATTATCGAAGTCCTCAAGTGGCAAGGCACTGTGACTAAACAGGGCGATATCTTTTTGATTCGTACAGGTTATGTGAGATGGCATGAGTAAGTTGACTGCATCGCGAGTCATCTCAGTTCAAGTTGGCTCCGTGGCTAATTTTGGCTTTCAGACAAGCCGACACCACAACCCGCCGTGATGGCACTCGCAAACAAAATCGCGCAATCGGCGTTGCAAACACGATGGAGACCGTGCGATGGTTGTACGATAGACATTTTGCGGCAGTGGCAAGTGACACCTTGAGCATTGAGGTATGGCCGTACCCCAAAGAGTGTTGCCTACATGAGTGGCTTCTTTGCCAATGGGGAACACCGATTGGGGAGCTCTGGGATTTGGAAAAGCTTAGCCGCACATGTGCGGAATTGAAAAAATGGACCTTCTTCCTAACCAGTGCTCCTCTACATATTAAGGGAGGCATTGGTTCCCCTCCAGGTGCCATCGCTGTCTTCTGAGTCCTGAAGCATTCGTCATTCGCATCAGCTGGATGCAAGTGGATGGTATAGGAAACTACCTTAAATGGATTCACCACACAATCAATGGATGAGGCACATGTGTTCAAGGCCGGAGATAATAAAGTCGCGTCGTGTATCCCTGTTTTCATTCAAATTGAACATTTACATTTATACAGTAATATGTAGAACAGGTTATCGCTCGCTTTTGTCCTATTGTCCTCACAGCTTCTATAGCGGAGAATCAAATGGTATTCGAGTACCAGATTATAGTGTGCTTCCAAGCGGGAGTGCATTGAAGGTGTTAATAAAACAGATGTCTCACCCAACTCACTTGAATTTCCCGATAATATATTTTTTGGGAAAGATGGGCTTGATTGGAATTATGATCGTGATAATCGCAAGTAGACTACTGGCGCACATGTGCATCCATAATATGAACGCTTCTAGGTAATGTAGATGTGATTGAATTCCTTCAAGTCTACATCGTTGTACGTAACTTACGAAGGATGAATCGTAGACTTTATCTGCTTTCATTGAAAGGGCGGGGGTAGCTTGTGGGTTTCATTCTGAAGCCCGAACTGAGAACTTATTTTATTCGGGGTCGTTTTCCCCAACGGACTCCCCCTCCTTCCCCAATCCCTTAGCGGGGTACAATACCTTGATATTGATCGTCACTCCTGATGCTTTGATGAGCGCAGAAAAGTCTCCTCGGGCTAAACATATCGATGCCTCAATTTCACAATAAAAAAATGTCGGGCGATCAAAATCTTAAGGAGAAATTCATCTCTATTCTAGGGGAGGACGCCTGGGATCCTAACTGGGAGACAGTCCAGCGTCTCAGTCCGGAGCTCCTAGACGCAAGCATCGATCTGTTACATGTACCTAAGAAGAAAAACTACCTGTCGGCCAAGGTACAGCAGCTCATCGCCATTGCCGTTGATAGCTCGTCTACCCATCTCTACCTCCCGGGGATTCAACAGCACATCAAGCTAGCTTTGAAAGCGGGTGCTACGACCAGGGAGATAATGGAGGTGATAGAACTCACAAGCACATTGGGAATCCATGCGTGTAATGTCGGTGTACCTCTGCTGGTCGATGTTATGAAAGAGGCGGGTATATACGACTGTCATCCCTACGCAGGAAAGCCGTTTGATGAGCAGCGCGAGGCGTTGAAAACTGAGTTCACGAAAAAGAGGGGCTATTGGCATCGAACTTGGGAGGAATTTCTCGCCTTAGACCCGGAATTCTTCAAAGCTTACCTGGAATTTTCTTCTGTCCCCTGGACAAAGGATGTGAATGGTTTCCAGGGCGGTGGTGCATTGGAACCTAAAGTATGTTGAGTAGTTAATACATATGATCTGCTTGTTCTCTTCCTAACGGACGCTGACCGGATGACAGGTGAAGGAAATGATCTATTGTGCCTTTGATGCGGCTGCGACTCATCTATATGTGCCAGGTCTTCGCCTTCATATGGTGAATGTGCTGAAATATGGCGGTACTCCGGAAGAAATTCTCGGAGTTTTAGAGATCGCCACCCAGTTGAGCGTTCATACGGCGCATGCCGCAGCTCCGATCCTCGAAGAACTAATCGGTAGAACTGATGAACATGGTGACACATACGTCTAGTCTTGGATATTATTGGCACCTACACGCCCCAGAAGTGTATCAATATGATAGCCATTGCAATATCCAAGAAAGAGTTGAGATTGAAATTAGAAAACCCTTAATATCTTCAAAAGTGCTGTTGTCATTGGCGTCAATCGTAAAATCAAAACTCGGTCCTGGTTCTCTGGTATTGGTTCCCATTTTCCACCATGGGCAGGAATAACCTGGATGCCCTCTGAGTCTACTGCCCACGCGTTTTATCATTTGTTTCGTATCTTTTTGTCTGCTCATATTTATGGAGCCACTTTCTAATCTCTCTCTCTCTGCTCCAACAATCAGGATGTGCGCCATGCGGTAATAAATCCGACGTGTCTGCGCCCATTATTCATAGGTCTTTGTAATGATAGTCGGTGTTTTAGGGTGTTTCGGTGTATCCGACGTAAATTCTGTGATACCCGCCAAGCAATATACAGAATGAAAGCAAAGTTCTACTTGGATGTCACCGTGACGATTACCATATCGGTACCGGATGGACCCTCGTTACCGAGGCAAATATAAACAAGTAATATATAAGTGGTTGAACGAACAACTTTGACGGATCATGTAAAGCAAAATCTTTCCAAACGAGAAGGGAAACATTCGTATAGTTCTAAAGATGGCCCTCTCTCGGAAAAGCACATGATGTTACGAATCAAACATGTAAGTTTCTATTCATGTCAACTATGTTCGACTAGGTTTGCACAAAGTGCCAGGGATGATCCGATAATATTTACAATGGCCCATACCTGCGTGGGACCATTGAACACATTTGCCCATACCCGAAGCACATTAGCTGCAAGCAGCCTCATGCCCCGTCGCGATTCGACTGCTAGTGTCGAAGGGACGGCATAATCCGTCTCGTCCAACATTGTCCTAACTAGCCTAAGCATCCTGTGCTCACTAGAGCTGATAGGCTGATCTCCGACTGGTGATGATAATGCCTCGAGCCACTTACTGAGGAGAAATGCACACTCAAGCGTCGCTAAAGAATGCTGGATAGACCACCGAAAGGTCTGTGTCTGCGCCACCACGTGAACTCCAATCCTGATGGGAATGCTTAATGCATGAGCAGCATGCAGCACAGCCCGTAGTAGTCCGGGTGTTCTCTTGATTATTTGAGCTTCAAGGAAAGCATTCGCAATCTGTGCCGGATCACGAGTATGTAGTGCCCGTCCAGGACCAATATCTGCATTGAGCCTGATATATGCAAGACGTAGTAAGGCTGTCGAGTTGAAAGACACTGGTCCTGCGGGGTTGGAGGAATCCAGGCTTGAGTCCGGAGTTTGCTTCCAGGCTGATTTCCAGTTCCTCAGCGCTAGCTCAATCAAAGTAATATCGTCCTCCAATACGGCTGCACTGCCATTATCACAGGGGTGCAAAACCTGACGAACAAGATATATATGCTGGATAAGTGCATGTATTAGAACGTAATTTCCCAGAGTGGAGCGGCGCAAAATCCTGGCGCTGTGTTCCTTCTTTGAATAGGCGACTAAATGCCTCTTGGAAGTAAGTATCGGTCTCTTCTACCTGTGCGTCTCGCCATTTGGCCTCGCAAGTGGCTCGAAAGGTTGCAGAGTGGCAAGGCATGAGCATAGCGTCCATTTCCGAGCTTGAAATGAGTGACGGGATATTATGGACAATAGTATGCAGGTTAAAAAAGCAGAATACTATCCATTTGGTTCGCTTGGTGCTTTCATATTTCGCCCATTCTTCCCAACTAACATCATCTGGGGCTGGCATGGTTTTCAAAACATCGTCTCGGATAAGGCTTGCCAGTGTGCTTTGGATAGCGAGAGCCTGGCGTAAGGTTCTCCGATGGTTAGACCATGTCGCCTCAGCCATCAGGAGCAAGAGTGCCTGTGCAGTCTGTACTCTATCCTTTAGAGTCTCTTGGCTTTCACTCAATGAATCACGTAATGCCAGACCTGGGACCTCCATAAATGATCCGTAACGCCTCAAACTGTGCGCAAAGTCAAAGCCTCTTCGGTCATGAACCTTCGGTTCTAGTGGCAACATCGAATTGTCCAGCCTTTGGATACGCTCCTTTGCAATCGCGTGGCTGGTCTCAAATAGCTGGAATGCCCTCTCTGATTCCAAGCAGTACTGGGCCCCAACTGACGCAATTGCCAGTAACAACTCGATGCAGCATGCGTCACTCGACAGGGTGGGTACGTGAAGAAAGGGCAAATGTTCATGGAAGCCGTTGAGATACGCTTTGAGGTACCGTGAAAGCGCTAGCCGTGACGGCATTTCAAAAAGCTCGGGTACTACGGCACTAAATTGACGCAGTTTGGCCATAAAAAGCTGCCTTGTCTCCGAGCTTATGCTATCAAACAGCTTGCAAGTTCGGACTGGTTCTGGTGCTCGCCATGTCATCTCTTGTGGCTGTAATGAAGGCAGTCGAGAACCAAGGCGCGATATGGTCTCTCCGACTTCCGGTCGTGGCACTATTCCTGGACTGAGCAATGCAAGAGGTGGTTCCGGCTCCGCCAGCTGCGGTGGCGGATTGACCGGAATAATATGTGACGGCGAGAGGAACGAGTCGAAGTCGTCAAGCAATGGGGTATTGGTATCCATTAATGCCGCTAGGTCCTCGAACGAATGATTGAAAAAGCCTTGGTTAAGGCGCATTTCGAAATGTCCCGGGGATTCTGGTTGCCGTTGGCCATCGTTTACCGCAGGCTGTAATACATCTGCAAACATTCTATCATGCACGGCTGTTGGGGATTCATCAAGGGGGAAGCTTGTAGCTCATGTTGGGTGTTTTCCACTCCTGAGGGGTCGAACCCTTCCATCGTCACGACTGGATTAGTGATTGATAATTGATTCCCGATTCCTGCATCTTCAAAACTCTGTTCTTGGTGACAGGAGCCGTTTTCTGTACGCTGTCTTTTCGGACTAGCCTCACCTTCGAGGTCATTCATTCCCACAGAATGACTGATCCTTCCATGACGGACTAAGAGGTCACTAATGAGAGGTCAGGGACGATTGTTCATGAGTTGTGGTAAGTAAATAGGGAATGTAGATTTCATGTACGAATTTATTTGATTACCTTCTTGAAAAACGCTGTTGACATTGCGTACAGCCAAATGGCTTTTCCAGAGTATCTGTGACGCATTGAGTAGCTAGAACGCTTGGTTTTAGAATAGTTACGTACGGGTCCTCTCATGTCGCTGCAGGTGCTCCAAACGAGTGAAGCGTCGATGACAGTAGACACACAGGAACCTTTTGGCCTTTTTGGCAGTCTGGGATGGCTCGGTGCAGGTCAGTCCTCTTGGCGATTTAGGTGGATCCGAGCTCATCTTGAATTGTTCGAGGACATCTAACGTAAAACGTACTCCTTTATTGGACCTCAGCTATGGAAAGTCAGGACTTCAAATTCCCGGAGATATGTGGATTCCACATAGCTATGCAATGCTGGCGACTGCGATAAATTAATAAGAGCCTACGTCAGCTAATTTCTCAGCCCGCTGGTACTGCAAAGTGCGGAGTTCCCATGTGGGGAAGGGTTAGGTGGCGATTTCCTAACGGGGGTAGCTGCTTTTTCTTTCCATTAAGTGTTCATCATACAGTAGTCTAGCCTAGGTGGAGATGAAGTTACGCTCACCTGTCACAACTATCTCCGATAATATCCGCCTCGTTGGATCTCTGTTTGCTGCAATTGACGATAAAGAGGATTGGTGAATTTTGAGCTGATTTCAATGCATTCTCTACCAAGCCTCATGAGTATCACCAAATCCACAATTGATCTGGCTTCATGACTCTCATAGCCGGAGGACAATTCAACAATAACCTCTTTCTGAGACTGTTGAGCTGTCCAGTCAAGAGAGCTTAATGCAGTGGATCTTAAGAAACACCGGATATACTATAGTCGAACACGTTTCAGATACGGTAAACACCTCGATGCGAAGTGCCTATATAGCACGTCAGATCTAGACTGATCGGGTATCCACAACAGATCTACTGTCTATGTGTTGTCATTTTTAGTTGATGAGTCAGAATGAGAACGATGGCTTCGGCCGGTCAGCCATGCATCCATTAATTTGCTTCCGATGCTATAAATACGCATTCGAAGGCAACAGCCCCTTCTCATCAATTCTACAAGTCAAAGCTGCCCCGCCTTTTAATTAATATTTTCTTTGATGCTTTCTGGAACTCTGATAGTGCAGGGAAGCTGCCCCTGTTACCTTATAACACGCTGTGGTGGTTTATCGAATGTGGGGCAGTGAAGGATGTGTGAGTTACCCCACCCCGAACAAATCAGAGTAATTCCACATCTAGTAATAGCCTATTAGGAATTGGGAAAATGTGGAGGCGACGAAAGTAATCCTGAAAGCGTATTAGGTGGCCTTTTATACTTCGCTTCGTCTTTTTGGAATTCTTCAGGTTTGCCTGATTACGTGCTATGTATGGCTTAAGAGCTTCATATGTCAACTTCCAACTATCAACCCCAAGACTCACATTCATGTCAGACAATATGGCTTATTCTAAGCTATTCATTTGTTACGAAGATCCCGTACACCGTAAAATTTATTAGGTCCAAGGACCTTTCCTTCAATCACCGAAACAGATGTTGCCACCAAAAGTTTGCCACGCCATTTTCTAGGTTGCGATCGACGCATTAATACCGTGCTTGCCCCAGACGAAGAGGTTATGAAAGTTGTCGTACCAGTCCTTGGTAATCTACTAGAAGACGATAAGTTGCAGCGCAGACTTGCCAGTGCAGCTCTCCTGTGGGTCATCCATGCGCAATAACATCTGGCTTAATAATAAATATTCACAACTGCTGTATAAATCCACCAACCTTGAGGCCCGTTTTCTTTCCAGAAGGCCGAATTCCTTTGTAGCTTAAAATAACAGCTCGGTCGCCTTGATAAAGTCGACAGCTCTTCAACGCTGCGCACATGGTTAGCCCTGCGCCAATTCCAGCAGGTAGCGATGTGACAGTCGCGCATTTACCACGACGTCTTGCGTAAATTTATCTGTCCAGGTACCTTGCCTCGGTTTATTACACCAGATAGCACTTGTGGGTACTTGACTGGCCATAATCTGGCGTGCTTAATTGACACTCATAGCCAATACCACAGGGATGAAAGTCTCGACCAAGGGCGCTCACCCGGGTATTGATCTGAAACATGGGGTCATTTCCTGTCAACGGCATATGTAATTCTATCACCTTCCTTACGAAACAATGGCACCATACGTTTGGTCATGCTGTTGAGAACTCGACGTCGTGCTTTTTACTACCTACTGTACAAATCAGAGTATCATCATTATGGCCAACATTGTGTTCTTCTTTCCTACATAATGAAAGTATCCGTATCGATCTCAATCACCCGCCACAGGAAGCATTTAAAGCAAGTACTTAAAATCCAGCCCACGATCAGTTGGATGCCACAGTTTTGGAACGCCAGACTCCTCACCACGTCCCAATTTAGCCCTTGATTCTCCTTTCGACTTCTCTCTCCTCTGATAGATTATTCTCATAATGCTGCATCCGATGAAAGCAATAGCCAGGGATCCCAAGCTCCACGAATGACCGAGGACGTATCTTGGTTCAGATGTGCTTTGATAAATCTGACCCGCAATGATACCACCAAGGTTTGTTAACGTGAGCAGTATTCCCAGACTGGCTGCTCTTTTCCCGTCTGGTGCACAGTTACTAGAGAGCCAGGCGATGTTGCTTCCAGTGGCCAAGAAACAAGGCGTCGCAACTAGGAACATAGCGAAGTAGAGGACCCCCACGGGAACGTTGAATACCAGCAGTATAGCATATCCAGCAATACCGAATGGAATAGTGGTAGAAATGGCGAGATAACGCGCATTGTGTTGATCGGACAAAATTGCACCGATTCCATATACAATCGCACCCCAGAGGTTCACTGGACAGTATTAGTATAGATCTTTCTGCTTTCAATACAGGTTTGCTTTACCTGGAATTGTCAAATACTGTGCCTGTTTTGTTGTATAACTGAAGCCATTCTTTAATATTATCGGCAGAAAAGTACCGAATCCTACTGTCCATGAGTCACTGCATCCGTATTGTTTAAGCGAACATACCGTATAAGATAGTAACCACACAGATTTGAGTCACCCCATGGATCCAAGTCTTCATGTCTTTGGCTGCAAGCTTTACATCTGCCAGTTTGTAATGGCCTTGTCCACCACTATAAGCTCGGGACTGCTCATCGCGATATCTCATGAGTTGCTTTTCGTCGAGACTCAGAAAATATGCAGTTTCATAGTTCTTTGGAACAAGAAATACACAACAGATGGCAAACACCATTGTAATGATTCCTTCGAGGATGTAAAGCCTGTTCTCGTTAATATATTCCCTTATCCAAGCATCCAGGACAGATGACTAACCAGCGCCATCCAGGATAGCCGGCGATACCTTCCATGTACAGGATGCCAAACGCGATCAAGCCTCCAAACGCACCAGCAAGAGCAGAGGCAACTGTACACGAACATTGTCTGTATACCTCAAGGGTTAGCCAAATCTTGCTCACTAAATAGGTAGCATATTCTTGTGCCCAGTTCCTCTCTTAAGTACCAGTTGGCCAATAAAAGAGTCATTGAAGGAAAGAGGCAGCCTTCCAAGAGGCCCAGAATCAAGCGGCAGACACCCAACCCTGAAAAACTTTTGACGAACCCATTACACATGCATACAAGACCCCATGCAAATGCTATCGTTGGAATCACGCGATTGAACTGAAGGCGCTTCACCAAGAGCGAAGTCGGAAACTCTGCTAGAACATAGAAGATGTAGAAAATCGAAATTGCGGTCTAGTTTTCCGTTAGACCTTACTCGGTTTTGTTTTGATAAGCCATACTCACATTCAGTTGCGTTCCGGTTAGTCCAATATCATCTGTCATACCTTGGGTTGCAGCGAAGCCGATGTTGCCACGATCCAAATAGCTGATTAGCATGAGAAGCATCATGACTGGTGCAATGTAAAGATCTAGCTTTCGAACGAGACGTTCATTGCGCTTTTGGAATTCCACGTCCCGGGCTTCCACATGTTCAGCAAGCTCTACCATTGCAAACTCCCCCTTGAGTTGCTCAGTGGCATCTTGTTCTGACATGCTGGCTGCGTATCAATGAGAACTAGACTTGGTGACAGCCTTTTTATAAACTGAAATAGACATTAACAACCTGAAAAGTCGAGGGCCAGTGAGGCTTTGATGAACAAAAAACGGTTTAGCTATTTGTAAGGGGGCATCGCCTGCTTCAATATGAGGTCCACCACTGGCTGAGGCCAACTCATTCATTCCCAGTCCTTAGATACAATAATAGCATTTGGGGAAAGGGTTGCATTTCACCGCTATGCGCTCAGCCAAATCAAAGAGGTGGGGGTAACAGGGTTTGGTGTGCGAATGCAATACTGCCCAATCATCAAGCTTGATTTCCCGGACCCGGACAATTTTCCACGTCCCCGCTTTCCCCTCGATTAATGACTTTGGGGTATGGATTTTAGTTCTACAATATGTTTGAACAGCATAAGTTGAAGAAGCCCTTCATATTTAAGCGAGTGGCAATAAGGAGGGAGGGTGTTGAGCCTAGGAGCCATCTCAAAGCACACCGAACAGAGATGCATGGGATTGAATCTAATAATCCGCCCCAGGGTCAACCTCCTAGCTACAACACAAGAAGTACCTTGGTTCCCAAGTGCGACAGCTAGTCTCCAACGATGTCGATATAGCAGCAACCCACCTCTACTTGCCTGTAGTAAAACACCATGTCGCCCAAGCTCTAGAGGACCGGGCGACACAAATGTAAACATTTTAAGTGATAGAGTTCGCTGGTATATTGAGTATTTCTGCTTGTAACTGTGCCGTTCCCTTGCACGTAGATCTGATGAAAGAAGGTGAAACCTATTACAGCCACAACATTACAGTGAACGCCTCAATTGAGCATGTGGGTGTGCAGCTCAAACGCAGACTTCATCAAGAGACGTGGCTCCTGGCATCAATTTTCATATCATTAAGAGGCATCAGGCTAATGAAATGTATAATAAAGAGAGAGAGATAAAATGTAAAACACAACTACTATCTATCATTGTACTTGAGGGAATATGCTCACTCTCAAGATACCTTTCAAGAAGCACCCAAAAATCGCTTCTTGTTCCCCGGGTTTTGTTCCCATTCAACATCGTGGGCAAAAATAATCTCAACGCCTTCCAACTCCAGTTGCCTTATACGCTCAATAGTTCTTCCAGCCTCATGTCTATTCGAATGAATACAACATATATGACCTTGCTCATCATACCATTCACCAATGTCTCTTTCCCCGGTCATGATCCGTCGATCATGACAAGCATCCCCGGCTAGATAAACATATTTGCCTTGATCAGTCCGTGCAAGGATGTTGATATGGCCTGGCAAGTGACCAGGTGCGTCAACAAGTAAAACACTTCCGTCTTGGAAAATGTCCATGGTCCGTGGAAGGCAGCCTCGGGGCTGCCATGCCTGATTGAAATTAGGAAGTTCACCACGCGATGGCATATCTGCCTTCATCGTATTCATATATCGAAACTTTCCGTCTGGCAGAATCTCAATTGCTTGTGATTGACGAAGTAAGTCAACCTCGAAGAATGAGTGACCTCCGCGTAAAGCGAGATTGCTTCCATCCAAGAGACTTGATGTGCCAGGACCTGTCACAAAAGTGCTTTTGCCGAACATAGTTGGATCGCCGATGTGGTCCCAATGGATCTTTTAATCAGAAGTCAGTCATTAGCTAGTTCTATGCGAGGTGCATTGCTGAGACGGTACGGACATGCGAATATATCACAAAGTCAATATTCTCTGGGGATAAACCCCCGGCTGCCAAACTTTGAACAACATCCGGCTCAGCGCTCAGCGGCTGTCGAGTCTTGATATGATTTTGAATTGGGATAGGGTAATTTGATGGGTGCCGCAGGCCAAGGTCAAACATTACCCGAGTCATTCTCCCAGAGACAGTTTCAACATGTTCGATCAGAAATGAAAGGGAGGGTACCGTCTGTTTCGCCACGGCGGATGCAGGATAAACGAAAAAACGCTCTGGCAATGTAAGATGTCCAGCTTGTAGAGCGCTGACTTGCACTGAAACCTCCGAGCTGGATAATGACTGCATGTTTTATCGGCAATAAAGGGAAGTGAAGATATTTTTTACTAGATAGCTACCAACCTCTACATCAATTAATACGAACTTACCAGTACCATACCCTGTTCGACTTGGTTGGAGAACAAACTTCGGGCATCCTGGCGGACAATGATAGACCATTTTTCCCCAATATTGGGGAAGCTGAGTACTGCGTATCTATTGCACTACCTCGTTAGGCTTCCCCACTTGATAGAGCGTTTGGATTTGAAATAAATTATAACCTGCATGGACATAATCTAAAGCCAAATCGTTGGTCCCGCTCAGTGAGCACACGCTACTTTTGCAAAATGACCGTTTTTCCGCCAAGCTCGATTGGATTCATCGGCCTCGGGGCCATGGGAATGTGGATGGCAACGAACTTGGCAGAAAAACTCCCGACAAGCACTAAGTTGCACGTTTTCGATATTTTACCAGCCCTCCTTGAGGAATTCTGTACCAAACACCCTCTTAGCGCGGTGCAAGCTTCCAGTCCGAAAGAATTGGCGGTTAAATCTGTATGTTGTTCAAACCCTCTCCCTTCCAGAATCTCGCAAATCCTAATATTCATGAGCAGGATATAATAATTACTATGCTTCCAGAAGGGCAGCACGTCAGGACGGTTTATCTGGGACCAGATGGAGTATGTTCTGGAGAGATCGGAGCGAAATTACTCATCGATTGCTCAACTATCGATACCGCTAGCTTTCTTGAGATCAAAGAGCACATTCAGAAAGTATCCCCATCTACTAAGCTCTATGATGCGCCCGTTAGCGGGGGGGTTATTGGAGCCAAGAAGGGAACCGTGGCTTTTTTTCTGGGCTGCGCAGAAGACGATCCGGGTGAAATCCAGAGACTATCCGAGCTATTGTCCCTAATGGGAAGCAAAGTCATTCCGTGTGGCGGTCCGTCTTTTGGTCTTGCGGCGAAGCTGTCTAACAACTATTTATCGGGTATCATCGCCATTGCATGTTCGGAGGCCATGGACATGGGAATGCGGTCCGGACTAGATCCTCGTGTTCTTGCCAAAGTCTACGCTGCTGGGACAGCACAGAACACGATTTGCGATAAATTCTGTCCAGTTCCTGGAGTTTCTCCCGAGGCTCCATCTTCGAATGGATATAAGAACGGCTTTAAAGTGCAGTTGATGCGGAAGGATATCTCACTGGCACTGGAAATGGCTCACGGAGTGAGTTCAAAGAACGTCCTAGGAAGTATAGCCTTGGAAACTTATGAAGGTGTCTGCGCGGATTCAAGGTGCAAAGACTTAGATTCTCGAGTTGTTTTTCGGTATTTGGGTGGCAATGAAGAGTGGAAAACCGATCACCCAAAGTCGAGCTAAACCTGACAACGCTGCTTTTCATATTTACAGTTTAAATTGAATTAGATATAAATTTATGTATATGCTTTGCTTACTTATATATCGTAGTGATTTGACTTGTAATATACGAACTAAACAAATTATCGGCTGATTTTGGACAAATCAGGATAGGTATGGAATATCTGAGTCTGAGGGTTCTTGAAAAGGTAAAATTAAAATTAAAGTAACATACAACTCGCTTTCGGAGAATTTTCAATGCGGGTGATAGTGGGGTAAGGCATGAAAAGTGTTGTTTCCCCGTTCCCCCAAAAATCGGAGAAAGCCAGCAGTTGCGGGGTTGAGGGCATCTATTTACCCCGAAAACATCGGATGCACTATGGACCATCAATCACCTTTCAGATATTTAGTACTCAAGTGACTACAACTTCATATGTCTGTTTGACTCTTCCAAAACATTCAAATAACAGTTAAATTACAATCCAACCTCAACTACGTTTCCTCCAATATGTCAACAGATCCAAAGTTCGACGATCTTCACAACCAGCTTTTTGAAGAAGGCCTGAAAGTTCGCCGCGCTGTTGTCGGGGATACATATGTCAACAGAGCTCTCAAGAACGGATCAACTGAATTCTCAAGAGCCGGCCAGGAGCTCGTCACCGAATGGTGCTGGGGATATGCGTGGACCAGGCCGGGCCTTGCCCGAAGGGATCGCAGCCTGCTCAATATTGGCATGCTAATGGCTCTTAATCGTGCTCCAGAGCTTGCTGTCCACGTTCGCGGTGCGCGAAACAATGGCCTGAGTGAACTTGAGATTAGGGAGGCCATCATACACGCAACAACTTATTGCGGCGTTCCGGCTGGGGTTGACGCTATGAAAATTGCCGAGAAGACACTCAATGAAATGGCTGAAAATGGAGAAAAGCCGCGTGAACTAGGGGCAAAGTCGAGCAAAGCATGAAAGAGATACTTGTGGGGCTCAGATAGTGGAATCGGAAAATAGACACCAGGCTCTTTGTACATGCAAGAAAGTATGCGTACCCAGCGCAACCACTTCTTTCTTTCCAAGCTTCCTTATAAATCCAGAGAAGAGCATGTTATTTGAGGGTTTTGAGAAAGCATCAATAGTCAGCAAATATTTCTCAGTCTCTTGGCAGTTACATATATTTAAATGACTCAACATATGCAGCTGACTTTAAATATGGAAGGGAATCTCAGAAGTGTAGACAACTTGGAAGCTCATAGAGACCCAGGAAAGAATCTTGAACGGTTCTTTTCACGCCACTCGCCATCATGTGCTATGACTACTTCTACCCTTTCATTGGTTCCTGACTCTGTCGCAGTCTGATTTATGCCATCCACCAATCTCTGAACCCTTCTCAGAGTTTCCCTTGCTTCGGCGGTGTGGACATGTACGCTCCTCTTCCCGCCATGCACATCATCATACAACGCAATATCCTTTACCCTGTTTAGGATGCGAGAATCATGACAACAGTCGCCGCCTAGGTAAACCCAGTCAGTCTCTGACACTCGCGCCAAAAGTTTTATGTGTCCAATCATATGACCTGGGCTATCGACAACGTATACGCTTCCGTCCGCGAAGAGGTCAATTGCAGACGCAAAAGGACCGAGAGGCTGCCATGTATGTGAAGACTGCTGGGCGGCATGAACACAGTCAGGAATAACCTCCCCCAACTCGGGGTCTGCGGCTGGTGTATTTGCTGGGGGGAATTCTTGAGTTCGTTCCTCGGGCAAGAGGTCAGGAATAAAAATCTCGGCTGGATAATGGGGTCCTGCACCATGGCGCAAGAGGTGCAAGGTCCCAGCACCGACCAGGAATTGGGCTTTACTGAAGTCTACCGGTGTACCGACATGATCCCAATGCACCTAGTGGCAAGTTCGTCAGATGACTTTTATCAATGAGAGCCTGGGAAATTCTTACATGACTTAGAATTACCATCTCAATCTCGGCCGGATCCAAGCCTCCAGCACGCAAAGAATCGCCCACATCAGGATAAAGTATGGTCGGTTGTCGATTGCGAATATGGGTTTGCATGAGTGGCGGAAATTCTTCTGGATTTCGCTTCATTCCGAGATCAAATAGCAGTCTTGTCGAAGGTTCAGAGCCTCTTGATGGATGTCGGATAAGAAACGACAGAGACGGCACGGTGACCCTTCTGTTGGGGTCGGCATCGGTGACAAACAATTGCTCTGGCAGGGTCAAGTGTCCTCCATCTAATGCTGAGATTGTAACATAAACCTGATCTGGCCTTGGTAAAGGAAGACTCTTATTCGTGCTGGCTGAAGGCATATTGATTTCGGAAGACGTGGTTTGGTGATATTCAGTGAATAAGGTGATGATTCTACTCGCTATATAAAAGTTGAAAGGTGCAGAAGGAATAGTAAGCTTTAAGAGGATACAGATTCTATATTTCCAAGACTTTGCTTCGACTATCGACACCAGTTCCTCCACACAATGTACCTTGTGGAGGGAATTTGGGGAACCTGGGACGTTGAACATCGGGGAAATTGGGGAAGCTTCTCGAGCATAAATTGGAGTATGTAGGTGGCCAGGTAAGCAGGTGGCCCTAGGCTTCGGCAAATGGGTTAGGCCCGATGGGCTAGGTTGGGTTGGGCCCAAAAATGGGGGCCCATTTGCCTTTGAAATGGGCCCGGGCCCATATGGGCCCCCATTTGAGCCCATTTTTTATGGGTCCAAAATTATGTATAATTTTCATAAAGTATGCAGAAATATTAGTTTTAGAGGGGTAAAATACCACTTTAAATACCTCATATATTACATATAGATAACATAAAGTCAGCTTTTAAAGGTATGAACTCTATGGTTCTACCCTATTTTTTCAATTTTTTTTATGATTTTTATATACAAAAGCAAGACCTATAAGCCACCCTAACGCCCTAGCACCTATAATCAAATAAAGCACGCATAATTGATCTTATCAATTAGTGATACGTATATTCTACTTTATCCTATCTCTACCTAGTAGCTCTAGCTCTTCTAGAAACCCTAATTAAAGGCAATTCTCTATCATCTAACCTTTTATCTAAAGATTCTTTAGACGAAACCTCCCTTATTCTCTTTATAGGCTATCGAATTAGGACTAGCTACTCTTCCTTATCTAAGCTATCGAGGTCTAGGTCCTCGATATCACTAATATCCTTAAGTATTACTTAAGTCTCTAAGTCCTTTAATCCTACCTCCTCTTTAATCTTAAGATTCTTTACTAGCTAAGTTAGCTCTTTTATATCTATATTAAACTTTATAGTGCGATTATATACTATAAGGTCTTTTATAGTAGAAGTGCTTAGCCTACCACGCTAGTAGTAGCATATATCACGTGCTATATTAAATAGGCGCTCTACACTAGCACTAATTACTAGAATAGAGAAGAGATCTCGAGCTATCTAAGCTAGGGTAGGGTATTTAGTCTAATTATTCTACTAGAAGATATAGGGTTCCTCGTTAATTAGCCCTAGTTAGGTTAGTAAAGGGTGGTTAGGTTAGGCTATAGATATAGAGTCTATATATATAGATATATAGATATAGACTTAACGTACTAGCTTGAAGGTAATCTCCTAGCTTATCTACTTATATAGGTAATATACTAGCTTTTAGAGGTATTATAGACTAGACCGCTAGCTCTATAGCTATATATCTCTAGGCTTAGGGACTCGAGATTGGGTTATCTTATTAATAAGATCTAATCAGATCCTATAAGCTTAATCTATAGACCTTGGTATAATTAATCGTCTCATCTTCCCACTCTTTAGATTAAAAGAATTAAAGCTTATACTATAGGGTAAGGATCGTTCTATATATATATATACTACCTAGGGCTAGGTCTATAGTCTGAGAGTAATACTCTTGAAGCTTAGATTTAGCTACTTATAGAGCTAAAAGTATATCTTGTTTCTATAAAAGCTAGAGTTATATAGTTAGTATAGGGTTATATAGGGTTATATAAGCTTATATAGGTTAAATATACCTTCTTTTACTAAAGCTTAGTAATAGAAGACTTAATATACTAGAATAAAGTATTATAGATATTAAACATACTATATATAGTAATATCCTTTATCTTATATAATATAGTAGTAAAGATAAAGAAAGGCTTTATAATATATAAAAGATAGGTGATTTAACGCTATTTATCTGATCTTATATATATTTTACCCTAGAATAGCTTATAATAGCTATCTAGAGCTAGTCTAATCTAAATAGCTCTTTCTAGTATTAAAAAGGTCGAGTTCTATTAAGTCTGAATGTCCTAGATAGGGTAAAGTAGGTCTTTTATCCTATCTTTTACCTATTCTATCTAGAAATCATCCTATCTTTATAGGCTTATATTAATATAGACCGCTAGATTCTAGACTTTCTAGAGCGTATAAACTATACTAGTTATTTAGCTGATTTCCCTATACTTTTAGAGATCTTTAGACCAAACTAGCTCTATATTATTATTTTTAGGGTTAACCCTAATCATCCTATATAGCTACTTTAAGGATAGCTAGATTATATATACCATATAAGGGACTTAAGTAATTAAGGTCGCTAGATAAGCTTCTTATAGAAAGTCTTAAAGAGATAAGACCAAAGTCTTATTATTTAAAGCGTTATCTATGGTAATAGCCATAATCTAGTCTAATATTTTATACTTCTCTAGTATTAGAATCACTATACTAGTAAGGTTGGCGCCTAGATATAGAGATTTTAGTATAGAGAAGCTAAAAAGAGGGAGATAGAATCTTAAAGTAGATTAGGGGTGGATTAGGGGTGGATTAGGGGGATTTAATTAAGATACGATCGATATAGATCTCTATATTAATATATATATATTCTACATTGATTATATCTTGATTGATTCCCCCTAATCCGCCCCTAATCCTACCCTAATCCACTTTAAGTTTCTACTACTTACCTAAATAGGTGCTATATAGGGGTTTAAACCCTAGTAGGACCTCCCTATAGTATTAGTCTAGGTCTAGAAAATAGCCTATGATAGCTAGATAAGATTAGGAGTATAGAGATATCTAGTAATCTAGGGTAATCAAGAGCTTAGAACCTTCTAGAAGCGTGCTTAAAGCGGTTATTTATTAATTTAAGCTTTTATCTTATAGGCGATGAGATAAGGTTTAAAGGGAAGGGATAGATAGGACTAAAGTAAGCTAGGCCGTTCCTTCTATAAAGGCCTTAAATTACTAACTATTTAAGATATTAAAAGGCAGGTGGTAGGTAGTAAAGAAGTTTATAAGTAGCTTAAACCATATCTAATAGGTTATATACTACTTTGATTGAACTACCTAGGTAGGGTTAGTATATATAATATATAATATATATAATATATATAATATATAATATAAGATAGTGGGGTAGTGGGGCAGCGGGCTTATTATAGTAAAGGCAAAGCTACTCTTAATTAAACTCTGGCTAGGGTTAATCACCCTAGACTTATAGGATTTCTCGATATGGCGATAGAGAGTTAAGGTTCTATTAAAAGAGCTTCTATTACTCTAATTAGGGTAGTTAAATAGTATATTATATACTATATAGCGTACTTTTAGTAGTCTGGTCTAAACTTCTATAACCTGATTAATATGGGACTAAATCTTCGAATTCCCCTTTTTTGCCTAATTTAAAGCTAGTCTAGTATCCTTTAACCTATTTAGGGTAGTTTTCCACTATTTTAGGAAGGTATTATGGTTTAATTAGGACTATATAGCATAATTTCCTACTTTAGGTATAGAAAACTATAGAATTCTATTAGGTAGGGTACCTAGGGTAGATAGGTCGCTTAGGGTGGGTAGGGTGCTCTAGGTAGGGTAAAACGTTAATATTGACTTAGAAGGAGTAATTGGATCGCTCTAAAGAGGGTTTAGAAACCCTAATTCTAATATACTAGGTATATAGAGCTGAGAGAGAGCTAGGATAAAAGGATTTTTGAAGATATTACCTTCTAGAATCTGATTGGTTAGATATTATATATAGGTCTGGTTTTATAGTGCTGATTAGTTACTGCTATAGTGGTCTTACCCGCGCGCTATATAATCAGGAACACTAGTTTGATTAATATGTATTTCTATAGAACTCCTACCTGAACTAGTTAAAATAGAGCTTTTAAGCTTATATATAAGGTTATTACCTTATAATATAGCTTATTCTTTATTTAAATTATATATATAAAGGGTGGTTGGGGCGAAGACCTAGATATATAGTTGGTAAGCTACACGTTCTATATATATATATCTCCCCCATTAGCATAGTAGATCAACCACTTCAAAAATTACTACCCTATATTATAACCAGCCACCCTAAATATAGGATAATCTAGGGTAATATAGTATAATAAGCTTATATAAAGCTATATTATATATAATTATAATAGGTAAAGTAGAATATAGGAGGAAAAGTGGTTACCATATATATATAGACCAGAACAGACTATAATTAAAAAAAAGTCTTAGCAAAAAATATATAAAATTAGGTAGGGATAGGCAGAAATCAGGCCTAAATCAGGCTAAATATAAGGAATAAAAGGGCTAGGTAAGAAGATAGTAAAAGGGAACTAAAAGGAATATAAAATAATACTAATATGGTATAGATTTAAGGTCTAGGGCAATATAGATTATATTGGTTTTAAAACTAATTCTTAAGGAAGCGAAGAATTAAAAGAGAGAGATTCTTCTTCTTCCTTAATATAGAGGAAGTAAGAGCTAAGTAAGAGCTAGATGAATGGTTTATAATGATCTTACTTTAAATATCTCTTTATTATAGACTAGCTCTAGGCAAGCCTAGAGCTTACTCTTGATCTAGATGTTAAATTAAAAGTGATTTAGTACTATTTCGGGATTTCTAAAGTATCCTATGATTTCTACCTTAGAAAAATAGGTATCTATCTTTTCTTTTATAATAACTATTCTCTCTCTTTCTATAGAATTAATCTCGATTCTAGATAAAGAATAGTATAAGAAACTAATAGAAGTTTAGGGAATATATATTAAAGAACTTCTAGTTATATATGATATATATTTCTTTATTTGATATAGTATATAGTAACTTTAAAGTTTTAGTTTACCCTTAGTTACTACTTTACTTTTAATTCACCTCTATATTATATTTATATTATAGTTCCTATAATTTAGCGTACTTAAGTAACTATAGTAACGCGGTTATAGTGTATATAATACTTTCGCGATTAGTTACTTACTTAGACTCTAGTTAAGTCTATAATAGATATTATAGTTAGGATTAAAGCTTTTGCTAATCTAGATACGCTAATCTTAATATCTTAT